CTAATCCTGTTTTTCAAGCAAGGACAAAGCATGTCGAAATCGATTATCATTTTGTTAGGAGAAGTTTTCTGCTAAACAATTGCTTATTCGGCACATTGCCTCTTCAGATCAAATAGCCGATGTTTTTACCAAATTTTTACCTATTTCTCGCTTTCTTTTTCTTCAATCCAAGCTTTTAGTTGGTTTTCTACCTTTTAACTTGAGGGGGGCTGATAAGGATAATGGTTCACTAGTATTCAAAGCTACAGGTACAGATGTCTCAGTCAATGAAAGTTAAGATAGCAAGGACAAAGTAGCTGCTACCTACAAATCCATTTCAAAAGTCATCTCTTAGAAGTCATCTCAAACTACTAATGTTGTGTTTGGTTGAGGGATTTGGGGAGAGATTTGGAAAGAGAAAGGGAAAGGGAAAGGGAAAAGGTGTGTGAAACTAGGTGAAATGTAGGTATATTTTATTCACATTTCACCAAACTTTTCTCTTTTCCTTTCCAAACTTTCCAAATCATTCTTCAAATCCTCCAACCAAACACAGCGTAAAGCTACAGGTATGAACGGTTGTCTAAGGCTTCATCACAAGATTGTAGAATAGTTGTATATAATCAAAATTTTATTTGTAACAAATTCAGTTAGATATAGATTAGTTAGCAATAGGTTATTAGGTTATTAGATATTCATCTTGTATATATACATTAAATGGTGCTGTAAAACAGAGTGTGCATGATTCATTTTTCAATTGAATAATATCTTTTCTATTCTCTCTCTAAATTTTATCATGCTCAACCTCTGAAGTATTACTACTTCTCTTTCCATTAAGGCTTTCCATCTGATCACTCTTCAATAGCTCGTACCCCAAAGGGTGCCCCAACAAGTTACCCATACTACACTACAAAAAAAGGCGTTTTTTGTGACGGTAAAGAGCCGTCGCAAATGCCCCGGAAGCCGTCGCTAATACTTTTTGCGACGGTAATTTGGCTTTTTGCGACGGTAAGGGGGGGTCGCGACAAAGGGGGTTGCAAAAGAGCTTTAGCGACGGTAAGTACCGTTGTCATTAGTTTCTGCGACGGTAAGGTGTGTTTTTTGCGACGGCACTTTCCCTGTCACCAATAATGGAAAAAAAATAAGTTTTCGCGACGGCACATAATTCCCGTCGCTAAAAGTGAGTTTTTGAGACGGCAACATTACCGTCGCTAAAACTCTGGCATCTTATAAGTATTGGCGACGGCAACGGTTACCGTCGCTAAAGGTGTCTTGTAAATTCCAATTGCACAGCTTTTGCGACTGTGTTGGTGCCGTCGCAAAAGCCTATTATTGTTTTTTGCGACGGGTTCTTCTCCCGTCTAAATTTGTGGCATAGAAAGATACAAGTAGAGGTAACAAAGAAATGGGGACTAAGAACATTTTAGAAAAGGACTAGTTTTCTAGGCTTTGATTGTTGATGAGCCAGTTTCCTATTATTTGGGAAACATAACTGTAACTGTGGTGTTGTGTGGTTTGGTTGGTTGTTTAGATTGTGTTTCCCTATTTGGTTCATTAGAATGGAATGAAATGGTGATTTTTTATGTTGTGTTTGGTTGGGAGATTTGAAGAGGGATTTGGAAGGGAAGGTGAAAGAGAAAATGTGTGTGAAATTAGGTGAAATGTAAGCATATTTTATTCATATTTCGCTTACATTTTTCCTTTCCCTTTCCAAATCCTTCTTCAAATCCTCCAACCAAACACAGCGTAAAGCTACAGGTATGAACGGTTATCTAAGGCTTCATCACAAGATTGTAGAATAGTTGTATATAATCAAAATTTTATTTGTAACAAATTCAGTTAGATATAGATTAGTTAGCAATAGGTTGTTAGGTTATTAGATATTCATCTTGTATATATACATTAAATGGTTTTGTAAAACAGAGTGTGCATGATTCATTTTTCAATTGAATAATATCTTTTCTATTCTCTCTCTAAATTTTATCATGCTCAGCCTCTGAAGTATTACTACTCCTCTTTCCATTAAGGCTTTCCATCTGATCACTCTTCAATAGCTCGTACCCCAAAGGGTGCCCCAACAAGTTACCCATACTATAGTTTGTTAGTTCTCTCTCTCTTCCTGTAGTGCTATAGTTTGTTAGTTCTCTCTCTCTCTCTCTCTCTCTCTCTCTCTCTCTATGTAAATATGATTGCATGTGGCTATCTATGCATCTCTCTATATATATTGATATGGGTATTGCAGTTGCAGAGAGGTCCATAATTGACCACACGAGTGGACGTTCAATTTCCTTACACTTCGTTTGGATCGTGAGGTGAGATGAGAAAAGAAATAATTTTGATTTTTCACCTAGGTGAGAGAAGAAAAAAATGATTATGGCTTCTCACAATTATGTTTGGATGGATAAAGAGAAAAGAATGTGATTTCTCACCTATCTTATTTTGATAGAGTAAGTAAAAGAAAAGAAAAGAAAGTGTTGTAATTCATTTTACCAAAATAACCTTCCATATTAATAAGTTATTTTTTTTATAAGGGCAATTTTAATATTTTAGAAAACTTTTATTATACCCAATTCATTTCTCATCAAATCTCACAACTTTTGATGAAAACAAAGCATAGGCTTGGTAAAAATCATTTCTTATCATTTCTCACAATTTCTAACCTATTTAATCTTTCAAACAAGTAAACGCACTATTTCTTTTCTTTTTGCACCAAACACCTAACTGAATGTTAATTCATTAAACATGCATTCATGTGGAAAATGTCGGTGGTAAAGTTTTTTCATGTTTAATTTGCTTAATTAAATAAGCAGGTTTCTGTCAAACAGACCCCTCTGTCCCTATTATTATCATCGTTATTATTATTAATTTTTTTCAATCCTTATTGACCACACCAAAATATTAGAGCTGGTCTCCCTGTCCACATTATGTACTGGATAGTTCACTTGGACTTCTAGGTAAGATTGCAAATGGATATAGCCGTTCATAAATAAGTTTAAGCACAATTTGGTAAGGGCTCATTAAACTCAATTTGTTATTTTATTTTTTATTTTGTATTTTATTTTTATTTTTTTGGTGCGTTTGAGCCCGACCTTGAGCCTAAGCACAACACACTAAATCTCACCTTGTTAGCTGACTCGTTTAACGCTTATTATTTATATATTAAATAATGTAAAAATATGTATAAAAAATAAAATAAATATGTTATTTATATATTTAAAAAATATAAATGTAAATAATAACTAACTATAGATAATATATTTACATAACAGTGGTAGTAAATATTATTATTTTAGTAAAATACTAATTTTTCTTTTAACATGTTTATATATATTGTATAATCAAAATTTCAATTATAACTTTAATCTCATATGCAAATATGAATTTATAATTTTTTTGACTCGTTAAGGCTAGTAAACAGGCTCGAGTTCAAGTCAAGCTTAAACCAATTCGGTTCGAGCTCGGTTTGTTAAATTTTTATTGAGTTCGAACTTGAACTTGAACTCGAGCTCATTAAAATGTTAATAAAGAAGTCCAAACATATTAAAACTCGGCTCAGCTTGTTTGCAATTCTACTTGTGAGCTTCCCTATGAGCTTCACTCTAATGGTTTGATTTGTTCATATTTTGGGTTCGTTTGGGAAGTGGGTTGACTTTTCGGCTTTTTAACTATTTTAGCCTTAGGCTAAAAAGCCTCGTATGGGATTTTTTTTTAACTTTTTTGACTTTTGTGAGAGAAAAAATTTAATGATTATAGATTGGATGTGATGTTTTGTCTTATTAGGTTAAAAAACCTATTTTATTTTTTTTTGACTATTTTAACCAGAAAACCTGAGGCTAAAACTTCCCAAACGAGCACTTTATAAGTTTTTATGTGTAGATAGACGATTAAAAAAATTAAATTAAACTTATATTATTTCATTACATTTGTTTTAAAACAAATAAGAAGTTTATTTTCAAAATTATTTTTACCTTCTAATTCAAAAAAAAAAAAAAGAAAGAAAAAAAAAATGATTCATCCATTAATTTAGCCCCTCAATTCTATCCTCGATGATGTATAATTACGGTGGCTAAAGATGAGAAAGATGAGTGTAAGACTGTTTTACATGAGTTTTAATCACATTATTGATGGTGAAATTGGAGAACCTCAATTAAGGAATATAATAAGACTGTTAATATACATAAATATATATGTAAATACAAATATAGTTACAACTTACAATGATGGGATCAACATTTTCATAAATGATTTACAAAGGAACTTTTAAATGAACAGATTATTGAATTATCATAATCTATACAGTGCACATAGCTCTATTAAAATACACTCAAATTAGTGCATTATTTATTTATTTTATTTTTTTGATCAGCAAAAAAGAAGTTTTATTGATGGAAAAATATACGTTGTATGTAAAAGTATATCAACAAAGGGAAGGGTGCGAAAAGTATCACAGTGGTACATCAAGACACTACAACAAAATGCACTTTTGGCTACTAAATTTGGCGACTAAAAAAAATTAAGGTGCCAAAACTTGTAGAATTGGCAGCCAAATTTTTTTTAGTCAGCAAATGTACAATATTTAGCTACTAATTTTTTTTAGTTGCCAATAATCCGACTAGAAAAAAATTTAGTAGCTAAAAATGGCACAATTGGCGACTAAAAAGTGTTTTAGCACTTTTTAGTCGCTGTATATATAGTTTTGGCTACTAAAATTTTTTAGTCGGCAAATAAAAAACAAAAATTTACTTTTAAACTTTTGGCGAGTAAAAGTTTGGTTGCCAAAAATTTATTTTCAGTGACTAAAAAATATTTTAGTCGCCAAAGAATTAAAATATTGGAGGGAAAGTTTCAAATTTTGGAGGGATTTATAAAATTAATTGACGACCAAAATGTTTAGTCCCCAAATTACTACTTTTAGCGACTAAAATAATATTTAGTCGCTATTAATTAAGGTTTTGGCTACTAAAAGAAGTTTAGTCGCCATTGATCAAACTTTGTTCCTTAATTGGACTACTCTGTCAATCCTCTCCCATTTGACTCTCTCATCATTCCTCTTCTCTCTCTCTTTCTCTCTCCCTCTCTCTCTCTCTCTCTTTCTCTCACTCTATCGCAGGCGACCCTCTTACCAGCCACTGTCCACCACTGTCGCACACGAGCACCCATCTCCTCACCGGCGACGGTACCACCCATCTCCCCACCAGCGATAGACAACAGTAACTACTTTGATTTGTGTCTCCTCCAGCTCACGCCAGGTATTTCTGACCTTTTCCTCTCTCTCTCTCTCTCTCTCTCTATATATATATATATATCTTCACCCAATTTCTAGGGTTTCACTCTCTGACCAAAAAAATATATTTCTTTCTTCTTCACTGGTTTTGTGTAGAGTTATATGCGTAATCGGACACTGATTTTGCCCAGTTCACTATTATCTCTCTTTCTTACACACATTCACTCACTCATATATGTATGTAAGAAAAGTGGCGCTAGTATGTAATTGGTAGAAAGCTTAGGGAAAGCATGTAACTGGTAGAATGCTTGGTGATGCTGCCTCTCTTTGTATCACCGATGCCCTTGTCGGGATGATTGAGTTATTGGTAATTCTTTTACTTATTTGGTTCAATTTTATTTATTAACATGATTATAGTAGTCCATTTGTAAGCAAATGAGCCCTTTTTTACTTGAATCCATTCCCATTTTACAACAATCAATTTATTAAGTTGATATTGATTTTTATGTGTTAATTGCTTTTTTATGTTGTAAAAATTTTGGGTGGTCATTGTGGTCTCTTGGGTGGTTAGAGGTGGTAGCATTGGAGTGAAGCGATTGTAATGTTGGTGGTTGTGCTTACTATCAAAGAATAAGATGAATGAGATAGAAAAGGAAAGAGAAATGGGTTGTGCTTACTGCCATTGGTTGTCTCAAGATTTGGTTAGGATTTTCGAAATGCATTTCTTCTTTCTTATTTTTTCTTTCACATAGATCCTCTTCTAAGAAAGAAAAAAAAACAACCTATAATCCTGTTCTTTCCCCTGCCTATTGCTTAAAGCTAATTGGTTCTTGTTCGGTCTGAAATAGAAATACATCTTATCACTCCATAATAAGTGGCACTCATTTTTTGTACTCCATCGGCTGACAGTTTTATCACCTAATATATCTCCAGGAAGAAGCCTTGTTAAAACTGTTAACTTCTTTTTCTTTCTAGATGTATACTGTCAATATGAATATAAATGGAATGAGCTTACTGATGTCAGTTGTATTGTACACCTTCTACCAATAAATGGTATGTTCTATGCTCTTGATTGTTACAATGCATACAATTGACCTGCTAGATTCTGTGGTAACACACTACAATCTGAAAAATAGAGTGTCTATATTGATTGATCATCGCATCATAATTAGTTAGGCCGAGTTTGGCATTTCTAAAAAAATTCAAAAAATCAAAAAGTTACTAAAAAGGTTAAAAAGTTATCACTATTCACAAATTAAAATATAAAAAAAATAAATTATTATATATTTTAATAGAAAGATGTGACTGGTACTAAGAAGGAGATGGAAAGGTTGTCAAACGGGAAAACAGAAATTAGGTATATATATTTATTAAATTGGAGCATAATGTTGGGCTAGTGGGGCCTACCACGGGTCCCGTTTTGATAATCCGAACCGTCAATGTGTCAAACTCGTCGAGTAGTATATGCCTGTAAAAAATCACGTTAATCGAATATAGATAGCTACATGATTAAATCAGTTTTGTATAAACAATAGATGGTGTTATAGTTAACGGTTGACAAAAAACTAACACGATCAGATAGCTATCGATATTCGATCAACGTGATTTTTTACAAACATATATTACTCGACGAGTTCTATATATTAAACGGTTTTGATTAGCAAAACGGGACCTGTGGTGGGCCCACACGGGCCAAACAACATCGTCCAATTTAAGCTCGAAAAAAAGACAACCATTTTCCAACTCCTAGCAAGCGGCTACACTGCCTTAGGTACCGTACGGGCTACTCAATCACTTCTCCTATACATGTATTTATATAATTTTTTAATACACATTTTTTCGTAAAAAGTCAAAAAGTTAACCCAAACATCTATCTTTTTTTCCTTAACTTTTTAGTCCAAAAAGACAAAAAGTGCACTTATTTAGGACACTCCAAACAACCCCTTAGTCTGGCTCTGGCATATAAAATAGATATCAAAGTACTTATTTTGAGCCTTTTTTCGTTATCTGTTGATCTTTCTTTAACAAGTTAGATATTCTGAACAATGGCCTTTAAGCAACACAAAAGTTTGCAGTTTATCATTGCCATCGTCCATACCTTGTAGACTTGGCTGTTTTAGTTGATATAAAGGGGTCATGTTAGATGATGGAGTCTGCAATTACATTTATGATGGATGATAATTCATAATTAAGATATGAGTATGTAATCTTTGCATCAAATGAAGGTCTCGTCTAAATGCAGCTAAAGCTAACTGTAATATGATTGGTTTTTGACTAACTATTTGTTTAATTCATTTAGGTGGCCAAAGAAATGGAGCAAATGGAGATGTAGCCAATGATCGCTACTTGGTATTAGACTTGCATTTCTCTTATAATTAGTCTGTACATTTAAATTGCATAACAAAGATATGAAAAGAGATCGTCAAATTAATCTACTCATGGGCCAGAGTTCTACCTAGTATATTTTCCAATAATCTGTTATTATTTGGTACTCATAATTTGATTCTCATAATTTGATTGGTTCATGTAACTTGATTAATGACCTTCTTGAGCTTTATTAGGAGGTAGATTTGGAGAAGTCAATCCAACTGGTATCATGTTGTATAACAAAATCATTGACAATCTTTTGCTCAAAGGTACTGTGTGAGCAAAATTTCAATCTACTAAGAGAATTCCTCATGTTGTAAACAAGAATATATTTTAACAGAATAAGGGAAAAATATTAATGCAGGAATTGAGCCATTTGTGATGATAAATCATAATGACTTCCCTCAAGAACTCGAGGACAAATATGGGTCTTGGCTCTGTCCTCTTATGAGCTGAATTTTGTGTGAATTTGGGAGGGAGGTTGGTGAATCAGAGCACCAAGAAAAGGGCCAGTGAACCCAAATGTGTTGTTACTGGAAAGAGAATCCAAGGGGTATGTACGCCTCTTGTTTATTTCATAATTGCTCTTGTATTATGCTATGTCATTTTGTGATTGTGCATAATTTTCTGATTTTACTACTATGAAGTTAATTGGTCTTGTTGTGTTCCCTTTCCTTAGAATAATATACTTTGGTTTGTATAATTGTAAGTAGTTGATTACCAATGTTTCAATAGTATTCTGTGTCTTTTCTTGTGTTGTTGATTTAAAAAATAAATAAAATTTAATTGAGTTATTCATTAGTTATCAAAATCATTGGGTAGTTTATAGGGATCTATTATTGGATGATCCAAGCATGGGCCATTTAATGGATGATAAACCTTTTTTGTTAATTAAATACATGATAAGTCTGAATTTGTAAATATATATGGGTCCTGGTATCAGCACTGCATTAGCTAACCTTCAGTCTTGAACTACTATGTTACCAACATTTGTAGTGTGGTTTTTACCTCAATTTTTCTATTATGTTTTGAGTTCAATGATTTTTTCTTTTTATAAGAATAATGTTTTCAATACAAACAATGATCCACAAGTGTATGAGATCCCCATTGTATAAGGCACCATTTCTTTGCTTGTATAAGGCACCATTTCTTAGCTTAGTTTTTATTTATAAAGCAAGTTTATAAGAAATCAGTGGATGCTAGCTGCACTTATCCTTAATCGATAACATTCAGATAAGGGAAATGGATATCTTACTATTTTCCATGATGACAGCAAGTTCGAAGTTACTTGGATCTGTAAGAGTTGAGTTTTAATGACTAGGACCTAACATTCCCTTTGCCAACATGCAGAACTGCTGATCTCTCCACTTATGTATCTGAACCTCGCAAGAAAAACTTGTTTTTGCAAAGTTTATACAAAGAGGAGCAGGAAAAATCACATATGACAAATGGTAACAACAGCAGGAAGCATGCTTTTCATAGTGACATTCCAGATAAGGATATAGTTGAAGCTCTAGAAAATGAGGTTCAATATTGGGCAGACTTTTCAAAAGTTCACTATCATCCTCTTTGTATAAACTTAGTTTGTATGGAATATAAACTTTGTATAAACTTTTAATGTCAAAAGTTCACTCTACTTAGTTTGTATGGAATTTGACATTAAAAGTAATTCCTTTTTGGATGGTTAGAAGTGAAATGGATGCAAATTGTGAAATGATTGATAATATATGTATTGTTTTGTTTATATACACAGTATAGGTTAAACGGAATACATATAGGTTATGAACAAATTAAAAAAAAAAATAATATCATGTTTTTAGCCACTAAATAATTGGTAGCCAAAAAGGAAGTAAAAAATTTTAGCAACTAAATAGTTAGTAGCTAAAAAAAATAAAATAAAATAAAAAACTTTTGGCGACTAAAATTTTAGTAGCCAAATAAAAAAAATAGACTTTAGGCGACTAAAACATTTAGTAGCTAAAAAAAATAAGATGAACAAAAAAATCTTTTTGGCTACTAAATAAATTAGTTTTTGTGACTAAATGTTTCAGTCGCTGAAAATGCGATATTAATTTTTTTTGAAAACTTTTGGCGACTAAAAGATTGGTCGCCAATTTAGTCTATCAACGACTAAAGTTTTTTTTGTCACCAATAACTTTACTTTTGGCGACTACTTGTTTAGTCGCCAATTTAAGACTTTCGATGACCAAAATTTTTTTAGTCGCCAATACATTCGCCGACCATCTTTCTGCGACCAAGTTGGCGACCAAACTATTTAGTCGGGAAAACCTTTTGGCAACTAAAAATATGACTTTTGGCGACTAAAAATTTAGTCATCAAAAGTGCAATTTCGTGTAGTGAGATCCCAACCAGGTTGGTATCAAAATGCATACCAAATCATCTGCTAGCACTGCCTCCAAGCTCCAAGTTGGTGAGTAACCAACATACAAAGCAAAACAGGTAAAACACCAAAACAAACTAAAAAAATGCAACCTATAGGATCTAACCAAATGACAAATCACCTCTTTCAAACTATAATCTTCACCCACTAAACAACAGCAACAACAAAATTAGTGCATTATATAAAACAGTGGTGATAGAGACTACTAAAATGGTAGCACTAATGCCAGCTCTAATGAGCTGGCAGTGCAAGAAAAAAATAAAATAAAAATAAAGTCAAAGTATCACATCAGTGGTGGGATTTACATGGTGCCACCTCATTAGTGATGTATTAGTATTGTTGAATTAGTGGTTTAAAGCATTTTTTTATATAAAATATGATACACTCAAATTAGTGCATTACATGAATTATTAATTGACATAGCTCTATTAAAATACACAAATATATAAAGTGCATTACATGAATTATTAATTGATACTTTAATAACTTATAATAATCCAATATGCATTCTTATACAATATCTAACATTGTCCATGTTAGAAATTGGGCACCCATGTGGTATGACCCTTTGAACCTTTTGAACCTTATCCATATAAATTTGAATTTGAATTCAAAACTTATTTGGATAACCATTCAGGATATCTATATCTATCATATCAATAGATATAGATAGATGGATAGATAGATATTGGTGGATATATATCTGATTATATATTTTAGATAATATATTGATATATCAGATACGTATATCAGATACGTTATGTGATTTTTACCCATAACCTTTTTTCCCAGACTCTCTCTTTGACTCTCTCCCATTAAACAACGATCAAACCATTTTGCACTGTGACTTGTGTGGGTGATACTCATTTTGTAGTATCACTCCACTACTGGGTTTGTTGTTCGGATTCTGGAAGCACGTGATTTACCCACGAGGTTCTATCACCTAAAGGTATGATCTAAATGTTTTTCCCGCTGGGTGATAATACTTTATGATTTACATTGGTATCAGAGCCAATATGGGTTTTCGTGCTTATTTTTATGCATTAAAATATGTGTATATTTTTATATAAATATATATACATGATATATGCATGAATATTAATAAAGGAGGAAGATGTCCACTCTCATTAGATTGAGAGTGTAAAACACCTTATTTTTATGGTCATTAAACGTTATTTTTTAGACCATAAATGTTTTTATTGTGAAAAATGGAGTTCGGGAGTACCGAAATTGGACCAGAAAACACCCCGGAAGGCAGCACGTGTGCCTCACGCTCCAGATGACGCCGTCAACGGCAGGCACGCGCCTCCACGCGCTCTCATGCGCTGAGACGCGCTGCCGTGCGCTTTCACGCGCTGTTACGAGGGCGCTGTCTGCATTTTCACGCACGCGCCGTCCGCGCTGCACAGGCGCGCGCCGGCGCTGAGCCGCGTGTTGAGCCGCTTGCTAAGCCGCGTCGTTTTTCCTCCGCGGCTTGGCTAGTTTGGCTACTGGTACTAAGGCGCTGTTTGTTTTGTTTTAAATTCTGAATCGCGTTAAATGGTCATACGTAATTCGTTATAGCTTTGTTTTAAGCGTGGTTGGGACCATTAGACTCAGAATTAATTTTCTATATTCTGTAAAATTTTCAAAATTTGATGAAAATAAAAAATATTTTTCCTAAAATAATAATTCATTATTTCTGCTTTAAAATGCATATGGTGTTGCATGATTAAGTTTCTGGGGGCTGAATTTTTTATTGTAGACTACTGTTGTAGTTTACTATTTACTGGTATGGTTATTGCATTTTACCAGATTCTGGAATATTTATTTCTAATTTTATGTGTGTTTATTAGTTATTTAAAATTTCAGAAAATACCAAAAAATTTCAGAAAATTTCAGAAGTGATATACTTTCTGTTATGGCATGATTTGAATATTAAATACAACATATTGTTGTTTTTTGCTAGAGTTTCTAATATGTTGTAATTAGAATAACATGATTAATTGTTATTTGTTTAAATTCTATTATTAATTGTGACATAGCATGAGTTGGTTGTAGATCTATATTATGATGCTATTGTATGGAATTAAAATTTTTTATCATGCTTTTAGACATGCCATAGTCAGTGGGAGGTTATTCGGTTGAGAGAAATCTTTGTAGATTAACTCCCGAAAATCAATATTTTGCGCATAAATTAAATTAAATTTTGGATAATTGTCACATGTGGCGCAAGAGATGATTACGAGCATAGCGGATTTTCAATCTTGCGACTTGTGTAATATTGTCACTATTTAATTTAGATTTTTGTGACAAAATTATATTATGCTAATCAAATTAATCCCAATGCGAATTTCTCTCTAAATTGACTTAGCTTATGGAAGTTAATTGGTTGACCTAGACTTAGTAGAGATGTTCAAATGTGAACAATGTAATCCTACTCTTTAGATGAGCAAAAGTCTTGGAGATTTTAGGTCAGACCTTAATTGAGTCAAAGTAAGGAAACATGATTTAAAGTCGCCGTGGTTTTGTTGCCTTGTTTGGCACAGTAAAAACTAATGTGTGCGCTATGGTTAGCGGCATGCTACGTAGTTTTGGTTGGCAAGTTTTGGAGTTATGAAATTATTAAGCCCTCAATAGATCTGTATATGATCTTGACTATTGAGCTGCGCAGATTGACTTTGTAATTTGACTTGTAATGATGTTACATCATTGGATGAAGTAACATTCAGGATTCACGTCATCTAAGAAATGGAGGTTAAATAAATTAGTCATTAAGTGTAAGACGAGTAGCTAGTATGAGCAGTGTTTTGCTCTCTACCCAATTATTGGAAATGGATGGAGCAAAATTTCACGCACTATAATAGCCTACATTGAAGTATCACTTGAAGTTAAAAGATTAGCGCTCAGTAGTAGCAAAATCTATTAACACTAAATGAAAAGATTAGCGCCAAGTGGCTGCAGAATCTATTAGCATGGCCAACTTGTCTAAGTCTGGACACTTACTGTTTCCATACTTGAGTGTGAGACATGATGATGTGCTTCTTTGTGTGATTCCTTTACTAGGCTAATGTTTTGTTTTGAATAATGTTTACCACTAAGCGCAAACATTGCAGCATAGTAATGAAAAGGTCAAGGCTGACAAGGTTGTTATGACTCTAAGAATTTGACGCATCGTTTGTGAGAGAATTGTGTTGAATTAGACTCTTTAGCCTAATTCGCGCTTAAGTTACTTCAAGAGCTGTCATAGATTGATAGCTTATTCTCTCCTTCTTGTGGATAGTAGAATTAATTGCAAGTAACTATGAAGCGAGAAACAGAGATGGCAAGAAGAGTATCGTTATCTTTCAACTAGATGTAGTAAAGTGTATGGAGAATAAAGTTGACTTGAAGGTGCAGGGGATTAGCACTTACTAGTTAAATTTGCGACTTAGGCGCACTTGGTATCTCCATGACATCCTTTTATGATCTAGTGAATATGAATTAGTCGTGAGTCATTACCTAGTTGAGCCTAAACCTTTAAAACTTGTCTTCGAGAACTCACACATTAAGATAATTGGAATTAGTTTATGACATTAGTCATGAACCGGTGGCTTATTATACTTAATCACATTAATGAGATGATGATACGATGGTTTGAGTAGGCCTTCTCGGGCCCACTCGCTTATGACATCCTGCTCTCATGTGAATGTGTAACTTTGTTCGCAATGGGTGCGCACAAGTAAGTAGGAAAGCCGTTAGAAGGTCATTTGTTTTGGCGCATTTAGTCCACTATGATATTTGTGACTAGATATGTGTATAGGTATGAAAGCTAAGCCTCAATCTCGACATATTTATAGATTACGATACGCATCTGAGTCAAGACTATTTGATCTCCCATAAGTCAAAAGTTTTGGGATGATTTTTGACATTGCAAATATGAGGTTGAGATCAATTAGACAACAACTTTCGTGCTTCTAGTTTTGACTAAGGTGGCGAGTATCTATTTGAGTTATTTTTTAGAAAACTTTGTGAAGAGAAATGGATGCTTAGAAAATTGATTATTCCTAGTACTCAACAACACAATGGTGTAGTAGAGATAAGGAATTAAATATTGTTAATGTTAGGTGGATAATGGCGCAAAATGTTTCCCAATTGGGAATTGCACTAGTTTGTTGCCTATATCCCTAACTAGGTGCCCTCCATATCAGATTTTACACTCCATTTGAGTAAAGGGTTTGCGGAGAGTCATCTATGGGCGATCTGTGACCGTTAAGCAACTTATCTTTTTTTTTACTTCTCATAAGGTTGCGAAGTTAAGACCTAGGGTTCTATAGCGCATTATTGTATGCTG